ATATATATATATATATATATATATATATATATATATATATATATATATATATATATATATATATAATATGTATATGCATCCATATTTCTGAGTAAAAAGAATTAGACTTATACAATACGCGATGACAGGTAAGTGAACTGGAGTACAGTCTAAGTTTTCGAAATTTTTAAAAAACCATGAAAGTCTTACTCGATTACAAACTAGAGATAGAAATGACAGGAATATCTGAAATAATTTCACTTCTTGATTTGTAACAGCTTCAAGTGATTTCATTGGCATGCTAGTAAAAAACTGCGAAATTTCAGTGACGCAGAATATCAGACGTTCCGCACACTCATCTGTTGAAGGCAAGCGTTTGCTATAGGTATTTTTGTAGGGACATTTTCTGCCTGAAATGTCTTAGAACGATAATTTTTTTCCTTGACTAAATTTCTAAATGATTATCTTAGTCTATACTGCTCGGCGCTTTTTATTTCTCGCAAACACTTTCGTTCATTATCCTGTTTAAATTGTTGGGAAGAAAGAAATTCTTAGCTGCTTGGAAGGAACATCGACGATGCACGCAATAAATAAGAAAAAATTGATATGCTTGCAGTTTACGAAATTTCTGATTTACTAAGTAGTCCAGTTATTATCAACCTTAGAATGGAAAACAGAATACTACGAATGCTAAGAGTATAGTCAATCTTAGAATGGGAAACATACAATCTCGAAAATCAACAACCGTTCCAAGCACTGCGGAGAGCGTTTCAGACAGAAAATTACTGACAGGCGATGTAGTACACTGTATCCCGTTATCCGCAGTATCATCAGCACTTTCTTGATCAGCAGCTAACAAGTCATTCATTGAATCCCAATCTGATTTATCTGAAAAGTTAAGGAGAAGAAAAAACAAATATCATAGTTCGGAAGATTTTTCAATGTGTTCCTGTCAGCAAAAAAAGACTTTAATGCAAAAATAATATTAATTTAATCCCATTATTACAGAAGTGTACTCAAGCTTGAGAACGTAGAAACTGTTAGAAACTGCTTTCGTTCCGGATTGTGGAAGAAATTCTAAAATACTGAAGAGAATTTAACTGTATAGTATTAGGTTACCATTATGTATAGAAATTGAAATAAATATGCCAACTTTCGACAATGTCGGCTTAAAATTCTTATAAAAAAAAGTTTCAGGATACTTTAAAGATGGTAGTTTCCAATAATCCTTGTAGCCGATAACAAAATTTTACCGTCATTTAGGTAGGATTCCTGTAGCACCGTCAACCATAAGCCACATACGCAGGTAAAACCCTGACGAGTGATTCTTTCTGATTGAGTGTCTGTGTTCAAAACTGCCATTTCTAGCAGCCATAACATCTCTTGACACATACTATACAGATGTGAATTCCTGGAAAAAGTGTTTTAATAAATGTTGCAATCAAAAAGAATGAAAAATCTGAAAATGTCGACATAAAATCACGTGAACTCTCATATTCTGATAAACTTTAAATTCTACCGATATGGCAAACACAAGCGTATAATTCTCCTCACGATACCAAACCAGCATTCCATAAAGGGGGCTGTTGCACTCACGTGAATCAAATCAGTTGCTCTGCAGTAAAAATTTCATTATAAAACATGTCTAAAGCGCCTATTGAAGAACGATAAAAAAATCTTTCCTAGATTACCGTCATTATATAGATGACTTATGAAGTGTAAAGCTATGCAGCATACCTGGGAGGAAGTGAAGCGATTCGTCTTAGAATGGAAACAACAGTAGTGCATAAGCCAATATCCATCATTGCTTGCATCAGCACTTCGTTCTCGTTGAATAACTAAAAGAATATTTTAGTAACAGACTGAAATATTTCCAGAAATTTATGATGTATCTTAGTCTTGTGCAACTATATTTTTTATATTCCAGTGTTGCCTGAGCGAGTTGCATTTAGCTACTTTTAATTCTTTTTCAAAGAATTCATACTGTTTTCAAATTATAATCATTCCACCACATATAGAAGATGGATGGTTCAGCATTTCCCAACATTTGTCCAGTATATTGAATTGAATCGCTATACTACTGTTTTTTTAAACATAGTAGCCCTACTAAAAGGTTGACTTGAAACATATTAAAGCATAACAATGAATGAATTAATTAACCGCCATCAGCATAGACGAAATGTTCCAGTAGATATGCAAGCTTGAATGGTGAACACTTTCTTCCCATAAAACAAATATTGCTTTCAGTGATAGGCATTTGAATTGATTTACTTTTAAAGACGACACATGATCTGAACCCAGCCTGAAGTTAACACATTCTATGATAAAGTTAAGACGAAAAAGGAATACGGAAAAAAATCAGTGACCTACAATAGTTTATTCCAGTTTAGCCCTAGAAACAATTCGTCTATTTTTTGCTATATCAACTTGACATGATAAACTCACTCAACATTGAAACGAACTGCTTCCTCAAAAAGCAAAGAGAACAGTGATGAGGCTATTTCATCTGTTACAGGATAACCTTTCATTTGGCTGGAAAGCAACTCAAATCCATTCTTTCTTATGAAATCGAGTCGCACTTCTGAATCTGCTCGAAGCTAAAACGAGTTGATAAATTGAGAAATAAAATGCCTTTAAAGCGAAATTTATGTTTAATGAATCTTTACTGAACATCTATTCGAAGAATACCGGAATTATGTTTTAGCAAAGAAATTTCGCAAAACCAGTGAAGTTGTCTTTTTATGAAAACTGAGTAAGTGTAAGTAAGACAAAATACCAAAATCTGCTCCAGCAAGTTGAACACGTTATTTCGAAAGCGCTCATCAGACTGATTTGTCAACAGAACTACTACAGCTTGCCATGATATCTTCATGTTTACAGCTTCATTAAAGGATGCATCCGGAGCATTTTGAACAATTACTGCTAACTGTTCTAAACATCCTGGAATATGCCTAACATTGGCAAAAAATGAAATTAAAAAAAAATTACTGGAAAACCATATTACAGTCAAATTTTCCAAAATAGTTCACACTTTTAAAATTACAAATTAATGAAATATCAACGAACATCAGTAAATTCAGCTGATGAGATAGGACCATAACAGCAAAAAAACTTAAATATTACTGCAAGACAAGAACAGAAAAGCATGGACAACTTCTGGATATACCACGTAAAACAAGAGGAGAGTAATAAACAGAAAACAAGAAGATCCTTCAATGAAGAACTTGCCCTGTTTCGCAACTCAAGTTGGAAACGGTCATGTGTTAGCTCTCAAAAAAGATTTTAGATCCAACTATTCCATTCCCATTTTGTCGAGTTGAAACTAATAGATTAATTTCAAAAACGCTCTTCCAAAAAATAACATATCAGAAATTGAAGGGAGAAAACCTACTACAACGAAGATCACAAAACCAATCGATCAAACGTTCCTTCTCCGTAATAAAATCTTCGTTGCTTACATTTAATTCACTTTTTGCTCTTTGTAGATCGCAAACCTAAATTGACCCGAATTAGTCCAATCATTTAGGAATTACACCATCCCGAAATAATCATAATTTGCTTCAGTTTCAAAAGTAATTTATAATTTCACAAAAAAATCCGAAACAACTGCCCATGGTCAACGGACAGTCAAACGAAACAAACATTGCCTTTACTGTACAAGAACCATGCTAGATAACAGCAACATAGATCTGTTCCAAAAATATAACCGTTCGGTAGGTACACGACAATAAAGAAGATACATCCGGGAGATGAAACACTAACCAAATCCAGCGCATCTTTCCCATGAACAGTACTGGGGCGTTTTGAAAAAGCATAATGTTCACTGTTTGAATCATCTAAGCATGCTGCTTCATACATCTGCCGTAATTTTACTACCGAACGTTCTTTGGTCCAAACTTCGACAATACGACCTGCAATATTGTTTCGAAACAATAGTACAAGAGATTGACTGTCACTATTTTGATCGCTGTTACTAATCCGATTATTGATCCTGTATTAACTGTAACCGTTTTGGAAAAAGCATATAGAAGAAAATGTGATAAAACATTTCATTTCTAGATTTCTTGAAAAATCGCTGCTTTATAGGAACTTGCAGTGGGGATTGATTTTGGTTAAATGATTAACTTTTCGCATCTCTATCTTAGTGATACTGTGTGAGAGTTAACGCAGCAAAAAGAAAGCTAAACGAACTTCTTCCAAGAATACTGCCATAATCTTTCAAACGACGTACTAAATCGGTATCCTCTAACAAATTGAGTTTACATTCTTCTTGCAACAATTCTACAATCATACTTGGTTAAAACTGATAGGAATTTGATGGCTTGCAGCAGTTAGTTAAGACCAGAATAAACTGGTCAAAAGTTTCAAAACGGAATGAGTTTATGAATTATCAACCGTAAAAAATTATTCGCGCTTTCTAATCTTACTTAAGACAGGAAATTATAAGTGATTGGACCTTGCTGCAACCAATGGAAATGGTCGTTGTGGCCATAGGTAATATATGCATGAGCAGCTGCATGAGAAAGAAATATAAAATTCCACAAAAGCATTATCCCATCGGCTACTGATAGTGAATCTAGCAGTACATGGATAATCGTTAATAGAGCATCAGTTAATGGTGCAACATCTTGTACTTCAATTCGGTAGTCCTTATTGTCTTCAAGCATTTCCAAAATGGCCTGAAACTGAGCTTAAGAGCGGTAATTTTGTTTAAGTTTACGGTAATTGGCATTAATTGTCCCAGTTAAAGAATCTTAGACAACTCCAAAATGCCGTGGTATGTGTAAGTTTTTGATTACTAACTGAAAGCCGGGAGGTCAAGTCTTGTTAAAGATATTACAAGGAATAACATTATCCCGTCGAAATCCAAATTCAATTACCTGGAAAATCCTTTTGAGGAAACTGACTCGCTTCAGCTGCTCCCTACTGAATGCAGAATATTCTGCTCTTTCTTCCGAAATGCAGTGTGCAATATCTTCTAATATAATGCGCCACTGCAACATCTTTTCCCGGCCTTTCCTGAAAAGATGCACTGGAATGATTCACAGTATTAAAGTTGAAGTGTGCAGGACTACTCCAACTGTCGTTGTAAATTTTAAACGTAAGATGCCAACTGCAATTAGAAGTACAAATAACCAATGTATTGTCCATTATATCTGACATCCACGAATTATAAATAATCTCACAGCTAAACATGAGGTCTATTACATAAGGAGATAATAAGAAATTATAGGAAACAAAATTAGCAATAATGCTAAATGAATAATAAAAATACTAGAGAAAAAACAAACCATATCAAGGGAGCGCAAACTAAACGTACTATGAGTTCTGGATCAACAATGAACCATTGTTTCGATCTTTCATTCGAACATTTTATGTTGGATGGTAACGAAATACATGCACTTCGAAATTCCTGCAATATCTCACACAAGTTTATCTAAAGAACCTTCATTTGTAAATCATCATTTTGTGCATCATTCGAAATAAATGAATACCAATTATTTCAACCAAACATTGTTAGTATCTGCTTATATCTAAATAACAAACATTACCTTAAGCATTTGAGCACCAAAATAAGCAAGTGACGAAGAGAGACATCGTATAACACAGTTATATACATTTGAAAAGGTATATTCGTTTATGAATGGGCTTACTCGTCGTAGAAATTGGAATAAAAGACGAAAGGTAATTGCTTGTTCATATGCATTATGTTTCAAGTCAATCGCCTGCAATTTTTTGGTGGATTTTGAAAAATGTAAATTAATTCAAAAAAATCCCCAGCCAGAATCTTTCCAGTAAAATGCTGAAAACTATGAGCAGAAAATTGGTTAAATTAAAAACTATAAAGAGAAAGTCGTGTAAATGAGAGTAGTCGTCCTGAATTTCACATAGATCAGTGCCAGTTTTGATGGTTAATGTGGGTAATGTGAAGAGAAAGAAAATCTTTTTCAAAAACATACACAAACTTATACGACTATAAGCTTAATATCATTGCTCAAGATTTAACAGTCGATGGAAGCAGTAGGAAATTTACCTCTGCAAACATAAAAAGGAAAAGATTTTGCGAGCCAAGTGATAACCAACAATCATCGACAGAAATTTTCCTCAGTCGCTTCACCATTGGACAATTCCACTCTAACAAATGTTTTTCAGTGGAAGGCAAGTGACCGAGCTCCATTTTTCTTTGGCTAGTTTGTGAGTAGGATTTCCGTTGCATATACGCCATCTGGTCTCTAAATAATCACTATTCGAAAATTTATTCACTCATAGGAATTAATTTCAACAAAAAAAAAATGTTCCTCTGACCATATTACAAATCATGCTTTAATCTTACATGACTTGAAAACATCAGATTCTAAAGCTTCATGTTTTTTTTCACATGAAAATTTTAAAAAATTTAAAAATTTTGAATGACATTTATTTTGTAGAACGTAGAAAAGTAAAGCTATATTCTTCCAATAGTACGGGACATAAAATAACTGAATCAGATGAATTTTAAAGAAAAATTGAAGACACCTTATGACAAAAAGAAAATTCTGCTGAAGGCGAGCAAATGCGGTTCCAACATCAGCAAGAAGATCAAGAATGGCATTTTGTTGAAAAGAAACATTCTGCGAAGATAATAATGATGTCAGTTTCAGCATCAGAGAACTAATATTACATGCCGCCAAAGAAATGCAATCACAACCGAGAGCGCGTAAGATAAGTACTTGTGAAGTTTTCAAAGGACCTGAAAGATCAAATAATAGGCTACATAATAAACTCATAAATAAGAAATCTTTCACTATGTAGTTTCACTATATAAACCTAGCTAGTCTTCAATTACAGTGCTTCAGAAACTGTAGCATAAGTGAACCAAAGAACAAGAAAAAAATCCTTTAAACACCCCTGAAGTGAGTTGTTTAAAAGTTTATAAAAACAAAACGGTTAGAATTTACCTATATTATTTAAATAGTCTAGAAATCGAACAAGTGTGATATGAAACTCTCAGCCGAAAAGTTAGTGACATTCATTACCTCGAAATGAAAGAATTGATGACAGCTCATAAACTTTCGAGTAAGCCAAATCTTTTTGTAGCGCACCAAATCCGAATACAAATGATAATTTTTCTAAAGATTTTGTGCATTTCTGTTTCATACGCAAGATGAAATGACGTGAATTAATCCAGACCTATAATTAACAAAATAATCATTTTACTTTCATAAATAATAAGACTAAACAAATAAATGAACATCAAGAAAATAAAACAAATTAGACTTCTTGACTAACCTTCAAAGCAAGTCTGCTTCAACACAAAAAGTTTGGAAACAAGTTTGTTTTTTTCTTTTTTTTGAGAAGGCAGACTGAAAAGCTGCTGTAATTTCAAACAGAGAAGGAAAAAATGCTTTAAATGAAGTGAAAATATTAACATGCACTGAATGCAACGAATTAACGGCGACCATTGATACTACAATGTGGTTCCAGGCATCAACTGTCAATACCGACCGAAGACATCTACACTTTATTTTACCATCGAGAGTAATGCTTAAAGATTACAGTGTATTATTAGTCGTGCTCCTCAGAAATAAGTAACACAGAAATAAAGTTTTCAAGCACTGGTCACTTTATTCCTTATGTTAAGTAATGGTGAAATGAGTATTTAAATTTTACAGATGTTCTATTGGTTTTAATATACGCGGTACTGCTTCATGCACAAAAGTCCCACAGGTAAATTTAATGCTCAAAATTGGAAAGCCCAAAGATTGTGGACGAAAATAACATCCTGCACAAAAACGATCCATGTATGATTCAAAAAAAAAACACAGATGGGAAGTACCTCATATATAAAGTGCGATCATCGGATGACAGCTGAAGCAGAAAGCTCAAATTATTAGTAGCCATTGAACAAACCGGATGGATCTGATCTAAAGCATCAACGAGTTCCTGAAAACAACATGGAAATGATTTTTTTGAAAAAGGCTGGATTAAGTTTGAAAAGTAGGAAATGAAACAGGACGAATCTGTTGGAACAACAATATGCAAATTTTAAAACGATAAAATGTCACTGATTTGTTTTCTATTCACACATTTTACACTGAAACATAATCATAAATGGACATATAATAAGCACTTCATTATAGAAATGGATGTTGAATTAAACAGATTTGAAATTAATATGACATTGAGATGCCTGGAAATTTAAATTAATCCATGAAGCGGCCTCACAATATTCAATATTAAGGTGATAAATGTATTCTACCTTTTTCTGGCACTGTTGTGGCAACAACCAAAAAGAAACAGTAAGCCCATCGGTTAAACATGATGACCAGTCGAGGGCAAGTTTTGCAGCACAACATCGATCGAATAAATCTCCTTCAAGTTTACTGATTGCTAAACTACTTAAAGATCCAGAAAGTAATTGGGCGCTATGTACCTCCTCAACACGCTCTTCACATAGTGAAGCATTCCATGATGGAGCTGATTTTCCTGTCTGAAATTTGCATGCAATTATTCAGCAATTTTAACCGCTAATGCTACAATTATAGTGTAAATATGAATTAACTAATTTTCGGACAAGTAATTATTTATTTTGATAAATTACAACGAAAATAGGAACTGAGTATAATAAGTGCATTTTACCCAATTATTCCCATCAAATGTCAAGTTATTTCGTGCTGTTCTATCGCAGTTAAATCTCACATGAGCATGGATTTTTTGTGGAAAAACATAAACGTCTTTCGGTTCCACTTTTTCGCTCAGCAGTAATTCCAATAAAACCTCCGTTAATGCCACCTTAAAATTAGTAAAATTTATTACAAAAATAGAAAATTTTGAAAATTAAATTATAATAGACATATACCTTGCAGAACTTTGTAAATACATTACTGAAAAATACAAATTCCTACGCTCATTTGCTCAGTCGCGTGTTTTTTATCTTCCTTAGTAAAGGGTATACAAAAACGATGATCCCACAATCATCAAACAGTTACACAGAAAAACTCATTTCCTAAAATTTTGGATGCTGTATACCTGCAAATAACGAGCACTCCTCACAGTTGCAAACACATTTCGTATATCTGACGGTGTAAGATTTGTGGAAGCCAAATTAAAATAGAATGCAAGGAAAATCCGAAAGCAATTACAAGACACCGTTATTTCAGCTAGCGTTTGCAGCAAATGCAAAACGAGATGATTTAACTATAAATTATTCTATAAGAATATTCTGCCGTAGCCAATAAAAAAAATGACTATTTAAAATTTTTCGTTGATATTCTCAGAATAGATGAAGATGCAATTTAGAATCTCAGATAAATTTCGAAAGAAGTTGGCTGAAACACTACTCACTTTGCTAAAAAGGAGGCTCTTGTCAAATTGAGCATTTGACATTGCATGTTGAAGCGTACTGCATATCTTGCGAATATAATACTCATTATCGGACGAAACATTACGCTTAATTTGAATATGCTTTTGAAGCAGTGCTATTGAAATAACAAATAATTGTGGGCAAATTTTGTTAAAGCCTAAAAATTGGAATATAATACGACGAAAGACTGAATGTAAGAAACTGTTTGGTAAATCCTAATTTATAATAGTTATAATTCAATTTGCCCTAAATTACAAATAGTTGTAATTAAGAATACCATTGTATTTCCACATTTAAAGACTATAAAGGATCAAAATTGTGAAAATGTACTCGCACGAAAAGATGAATGTACATCCACTTTTTCAGTATCTACTTATCACAGAAGGCATTATCGAAAAAATGAGAACAGTATAAGCTAAAGTTACTCAAAATAAATTATAAAAAGAAATATTGCGAGAAATAAGTTAATCAGAAACAAATATTTCCTATTATAGAGATTATATAGTTAATGTAAAAATCAAATGAATTCAAACAACTTTTGACTGCTTCATTAACAGATGATGGCTCTCGGAAGCACTTACTTTGAATAGGTGGATATGCTGTAAGAAGCAGTATCCGTACAAAGCACTCTAATGCACATATCTTGGAAAACAGTAACTCATTGTTCAGCAACTTGGACTGCATCCACTCCAATAGATTTTCCTAAATCTTTATTCAAATTATGGAAATTGAATATGCCACGTGTAAACGAACTTCATCCACAACCAAACCTTGGTATTTGAGTTTTCATCAATCATTGCTTAAATATCTTGCCCTCCAAATTTACCCGAAGTGGGGCTCAAAATAACAAAATTTACAGCATTGTTTTGCAAAAAAGTTCACCTCAGCTACACCAGTTGCAAGGACAATCTGCAATGACACGCTAAATAGTTGACTTATGCGAAGCATGTGAGAATGAACGTCACTGGGTGCTAGCATCCAGTCCATGGCAATACCAACAGATGTAAAGCCATAACGTTCAGCGCATCTTAGAAAACCAGATGGCAAAGCTGCAAAAATTTCTGAAGCGAATTTAAGAAGTATACTATCTTCAATGAATACGAATCACGATAACATATTTGAAAATATGCAAAACAAGCGGTGATGCAAAAAACAATTCCTCCTTATTCTATATAACGAACAAATTAAAGACAATAATCGAGCTAAACTAAAAGCTTCATTACTTTATAAGAAAGTCTTCATATGTTATATTACAAGATAAAGTTTTACCAAATATAATCTATTATTTGATTTTAAAGATGCTCGGATTATATTTTTGTTTTTACTTATTAATCAGCAGTAACAATCGAACCTTTCTCAGTACAGTACGACAGCAGCAGTAGCACAAGATCAGCAACATGGAGCAGTGGAAAAGCAAAATCGGTAACGCCAATTAATGTCCAGATATCCGCACTAACATAAGTCATTTCTCGTGCAAATCGATCGCTTAGTGATTTCGCTAAATCTTCCATCTGTAGAAAAGCTGACGAAGTACTTTTAAATACGTAAATTTTAAAAAACGTGAATTTCTAAAATAAAAATTTGGGATAACTAATAGGGATAATGATAAATGATGCCTTTTGTACAACAGATATTTATAAATAAATCGTAGGAAAAACGTTGTCAGGATAAAAGACACCTACGCTTTTGGAACTGATCAGCTCGCTTCCAACAGTAATACAGCGCTTACAAATAATATATACAAGGCTGAATGATGCAGTAGATCCTTCCAGAAATGTCATAAACGGTAAGACCACATCACTGAAGCTTAGAAAATTTTTTATAAAGTTTGTAATTAAAATATAATCTTACACTCTCTTTTAAGTATGTAAATCAATGCTTTAAAGACCTCGAATATCATATGAACTATGGGAAACCAAATGAACAGATCATTTTGCCTGCAGTGCTGGTATGCCTTTGTTCTACCTTAGCAGTTCTCAGTCGGTGGTCGTGATCACTAAAATTTGGACTGCGCGGGCTATTAAAAATTATACCACACTTCTTTTTAATGTTATAATGTCAATTCATGTTTAATTAACACGTTGAAAGTTTTGATTAGAGTATATTTTCAAATTAACAGGATTTATTATTTTTGAGCCTTTGGTCCATGCTACAAATAAAAAACCAAAATGGTCAAGAAGGAGTTGGGAAGACTATTCTACCTGGATACCATATGGATGTCAACTTTCTGCGAATTCATCAATGAAGGAAGGAAAAATTAACTGGAAGATTTTTTTTTAAATAACTAAACCTAATAGCAAATTCGACAGCCTTTTGTCCGGTTAAATGCTCAGCAAGGAAGTCAATCATCACATCATATTGCATCGAAATACCGTCCAATCTAGTATCGACATCCCACTGTTCAAAAAGTGATGACTCATTTTTGAAACGACTTAAAATTGCCACACAAATAATTTCCACATCTTGCGCTAGCAAAACTAAAAAAATTGGAGATATTTCAAGATATCACTTAGAAATATTTCAAGATAAAATTTTCCTACAATTTCATTCCATAAAAATGAAGAATGCATAAAAATGAAGAATGCAGATCCGGATCCAATATTTTCTCTACTAACCAATATTTTCTATATTTTCTCTCTACTACTAAATATTTTCTCTCTACTCCAATATTTTTTTTCTCTACTCTATTTTCTCTCTACTCCAATATTTTCTCTCTACTACTAACTGACCTTAAACTTACTGATACGTATTCTATTCCTTTTTAGAAGTGATATCTTCTGAGTGTCTTACTGTTAGTCGGTGGTACTAATACCAAAGAGATTACTAATGCTCCCGAAAGTAAATCACAATCTACTGAAAAGCAAAGCCAGATTTCGCATCCTAAATTATATCACTCATACCTATATAACCATTAGGACCAAGAAGGAAGTGTAGCCGACCTGACATGTTCTTCTGCGTATCTTCTAAAAGTTCATTAGTTTCACTTATTTTCATTAACTACTTTTCAAGTTATAAAAGTTTCTTTAACTTTTGAACAGTCCAAACTTTTTGGCTAAATTTAAATAAATAACTGCAGTAATGAAAATTACATGGACAAATTGATGAAAGCGTTTGCAGAAGGTAAATGAACTTCGCTTCCTGAAAACTGCTAATTCGATTTTGTAATGATAGCAAGAATGCATTCGGCATTGGCGTAACAGTCCTGCAAAAATATTTTTTAAAAGAACTATCGCAACTTTCTTTTACTTGACAGAAGAATCCTGTTTTCTCGCGATATTAGTACTGACATGAATAGATTCTGGTCTCTTTTATTTGTTAAAAAGTTACCGTTTGTCAAAATTACGTTGCTGCTTTGCAATAATTTCTGCACATTGGTCAATAAAATTATCCATTAGATGAACTGAGAGGAATGTTGTAAAAAGTGATACAATGTCTATGAAGGAATAATATTCATCCGGTAGAGAGAGAGCACAACTAAGAATTCCTGAGAGTACAACTCTGTAAATGGCCTAAAGTTTTCGAATGCAATTTTAAAACGATCTGGCTTACTAAAAGAAAGAATCCCAAGACTCTGAAATCACAATTACAAAAGAAATTATAATGAACCATAGAATTATATAAAACTCGAATTTTTGATGCTATTTTACCAAATGTCATTAATAAGTAAGAATGTATACGGAATTCCAAATTTCAAAAACAGAAGTCCATAAGTTTTCTACGAAGAAAAAGAAAATCATACTCTTCGGAACAATTTCTCAAGATTTCTGAAACGATATCATGAACGAATACATATGCGCATCGCACTTCAAAATAAAGAAATCGTTTGTCATCTCCCTACAAAATTTAGTTAATTTTACTAAAAAAAAACCTCAAATAATGTTTCGCAAAGTTTCCAGATACATGAAGCGACTTGCAAAACAAAAGTAGCTAGCCGTAAACAGTACCGCATCTAGTGCAATTTTCGACTCAATTTATGTCGCATATTTGACGTATCTCGTGTTGATTTCCGAACTTTTTGACTTAAAGTTTCCTAATTGAACTGTTTCACCAGTTATTCGTTCTCAACTGTTATTTCTGAGCACAAAGTAAGAGAAATGATATTTGAGAAAGAAAAGATTATTAATGCAATAAGCCAAATTAAAAAACATGAGAACACAACCTTAAAACCATATTTTGACTTCGGCAATGATTTCTTCAGCAAAGCAATTCGATTCGAATACTTTACAATATAGTCAGAGAAATGGCCGACAATGTTGATAACAAATGAAGAAGGAAGATATTCGACAAAAATAAATAATTCTCGTATTAATACAACGAATTGCTCCTTTTTACATAGTGAAATAGAATATAAAACGCTCGAAAATGTTCGCGTCGAAAAATTCTTTGATTTGAGAAGCAAAATAAGAATATCAAATACTGTGATCAGTAATCTGAAATGAACGCTTCAATTTTCAGAATTTTTTCCAAAATTTATAATCTATCGAATAAAGTACCAAATGCATCTAATTTTCCAATCAAGGATATTTCCGAGATATATCAAAGACATATTTGTCCTTATAAAAATTAAAAGTATTACTAGAGCTGCACTTCACCTGTAATATTTTATGATTCCATCGATCAAATTATACCGGTTATCAGTATATATTTCAAAATTTACATTACCGGAACGTATATAAGCATTTAAGGTACTAGTCATCTGAAACATAGGGTTTGCTTGGCGAAATGTTACTAAGTTGGTATTCGACTTAGCATAAATGGTAAACCATTAATAAATTTAGATCTCAAACAGTCAAGAATTTGATCTCGAATAGTTTTTGAATTAAACGCTACTTAAATCTATTACCTAAATCTTTGGAAAAAATATGTATACCTTTGTCGCACAAAAAATGATACTTTCGAATAGAAGTCTTTGAAACGGAAAATCCGAGACACCAAATTCATTGCACAAGAAATTTATCGAACCATTTAGAAGTAAAGACAACATCACTTCCCAGGCAGTAATGCTTTGCTTACTTTTGCCAATAACTGTAAGAACCGTAACAAAACAAAGAATATGGTCAAATTGAAGTTTTAGGATTTTAAACTAATTTCGGAATTGAAAACCTAGCATGAAGTGCAGTTTAATTTTACTGATTTCTCGAGATTTCTGAGGATCGTGACAAATTTTGAGAATACTTCTAATTCAAGGAAAATGATTATGGTATTAAGAAAAAGTAATGCACACAGACCTAAACCTATCAGAAAACAGTGAACTAACTTGGAAAATTATGAGATAAAAGTTGTTTTACAACGAATCCATAGACGCTACTATCTTCAACCAATCGAGCAAATATTGACAGTGAATGTGCAAATGTTTCGAATTCGGATATTGTATCAGATGAATGATCGACAAGTTTATGATACATGATTTTCAGAGTCGAATCTTGCAGTGCATAACCTATAGACAGAGATCCTGTGAAAAACCAATTAATTAGAAAATTAATTGGTCGTAAATTTGATTATTAACTGAAGAATTGCTTTGATCTTCTAGTCGAGAGAAACAGACAGGACTCGTGCTGGCTTTTTGACTATGTGACAGTATCACAATATAAACCTTTTAGCTTCGAATGATGTGAGTACTTTTTTATCCTCCTTACTCCGCTTTGGAAGCAATGAGATTCTATAAAAAGAAACATTTTGTAAGCTTTCTGTTTTAATTTCCTGTGGCATACAAACAAGTTGGGTCCTCAATTTGAAAAGTGAAAACTGCTGCTGAATAGAAAATATTTCGAAATAATTAAGATCCATTTTTATAACGTCTCCAACTGTCCTATTGGATTATTCATTTGTCTGCAGAAATTTTCCTGATATAAGTTATCGTTGACTGTTTCATTTATATAAATACCTTTAGGAATAGCTGCCGACTCCTGCTCCATAGCAAAACCATCCCGATCGAGGTGAAAAATGTTATCCCAGATAGCCATCTATAAAACACATCTAATAAAACAACAAACTATCATGTAGTGAGATATAAACCTCATAAAATTACGATGGAATTTTCTTGATTGGAAAAGACCAGTTTGAAAATTTATAGACGAAGACTGACGTCACAGTATTTATTTGGAATATTTATCTTATTTTGAAATCATTCATTTGGATTGCATGTTTTCCTGATAGGAATCTCTCTAGTCCAATAACCAGAAAACAAAAATAAAAGTGATGACTTACAACATTTCGTCGTCTTCTTTTACAAAATTTATCATTCTTTTCATTTTCATTAATATTTTCTTCATTACACCGTTTACATTGCAAATCTAACAACAGCTGTGCGTCAGAAAAAGATATTTCAGTGGAAAGACAAGAAGATGGAAAATTTCCCAAATAATCGGCCAACTTCGTGGTTATTTGCTTGCTGTGTCCTTCTAATCCTGCAAAGATTCAACAAGTTTTAGAGTAATTTATAGCTCTCATCATGCTTCACCTTTTGCTGGTGTAGTTTAGTACTCTGCCTCTTCCAGAAACAAGTATTGAGTAACTCTAAAAATATTATTCTTACTTGTACAACCGTAGTGGGAAATGCCATTAGCAAATTTCAAAAAAATGAATAAAACAGTCAAGTCATATTTCAAAATCATTTTGAACTTGTTGAAATTTGTAAGAACTGTATGCGTATTCAGCATCCTTTTCTTCTACTGCTCACATAAAACCGTTCCATCCATTTTCTACTGCGATATTTTTCTTTAAGTTTTGATATGATTTTATAAAAATGAAACAATCCCACAGAGAATAAACTAACCACAGCGTGGACTGAGCGGTAAACGCGCGACGACAGCAAGTAGTAGGGATGTGCGATGTTCAACCACTTCATTTCCTTCCAGACTGTCTCTCAAATACGCTAACAGTCCTGTTCGCCATCCCACGTAAGCATTAGGTCCCAGCTGCTGTAATCGTCTACAATCTTTTCCTTTTCCTTCTCGTTCTTTATTTCCCATTGCCATGTACGCATATCTGCAATAAATCATCTCTTCCGCGATCATACGTCTCATCCACTACCGCAGATGTCGTGAACATTGTCTATTACCTTTAAGCATCATGTCAGTAAGACTGTATCATTTCAGGTCATTGTGAAGGATAAGTTCCAAGTACTGCACCTCTCTTAACTACGTCTATCAGGCATACGCACGTGACATCAGGCTTGCAATTCCTTCCAGCAGATTTGTCCATTTACACATTAGCAATGTGCTGAAGACGAAAAGCAAACTAATTTCAACACTTCGAACGGGCCGCTCCCTTCAATTACCCTTCGGGCATTCCAGTGTTTCAATTTTTGCTTTTTCACGTCCTGGAACTTAGTCTCCCACGGTATCCCCAAATCCTCGTGACGGATTAATTTCCTCGAATTGCACAGAATCTTACATATTCCAGGAAGTGTGGATTTGGAACTTGCACATTCCCTAATCTCGTTCTTGCACATTCAAAATAAAATCTCAGTAGTAGTGGTACGATTGCCTGCTGCAGGTCAACAATCAATTGGGTGCCCTTCGAAGGGCAATGGGTGGAGGAAAAAGCGGTCGTTGTAAACAGCAGGGAAAGGGAAAGAAGTGGCGGAAAATACTTTATGAACGGCAGCCGTTTGAAGATGAATACAGTGGCGGTAGTGAGTTTCTGAAGGAGCTGAGAACGAATAGTGAGTTTGCTCTAAGCAATTTCCTGTTCTTCTCTGAATGATTTGCAGTGCCACCCCGATTCCTCACCGTGGTATACAGGAAATGCGCTCCTGGATTGGACATTGAATTTTATCGACACTTTTCAAGTTCCGTACAATCCCTTCACAATCTAACCAGTGCGATAATATACTACTGACATTTTGATTATGTTTCGGTTCTGGCCACTGGGTATTTTATGGGTACAGTTTCCAGACAGTAGACAAGCTAAATTGAAATAAGAAGCTTGCAAATATTTCCGAGTTTAAATTTCGACTTACAGCAATCGGATAAATCAGAGCAGTATGGATGGGCCTCGTTGAAAGGTGTAACTTTATGGTTGGTTCAAACCACCTAACTTTCCAGACAAATTTCTTCATTTTTAATTATTTTTTTCCTTTTCCTCTATAGTTTGTACGAAATTTCATTTCTTTTACTTTGTTAAATTTTAATTTTAGTAACCGTGGTGGAATACTCATTTGTGGAAGCAGTATGTGGTGCTAGTCTTGTCATGCTTCACTCCAATGCTATTATATTTTATTACTTGGTGTTCGATTCCATTAAAAACAGTTCCATAAGTTCCGTCCAGCATTTTTCTTTGATATTCGCTATTGCCTTGGTTCTATACACCGTCTATTTGTATATGATCAGACCAAGAAATCTTCACGATCACTTTTACACTTTCATCATACTTCTTTGTTTTGGCTATGTCTTGACACCTGTTATTAGGTTTGCTCTTTTTTTTCAATTTAACCACTATTTTAGATGTTGCCGATAATTACTCCTAATACTTTTTGTTCTTTGTCAATACGGTAACTGCAAATCGTATGTCATTTTTCTTCAAATTTAGAAGTTTTCATTTGTACAGTATACGTATAAAACAGTGGAAAAAAAGCGTAATTTCGAAGTTCTGTTTTTAAGGACACTAACGGATACAATTAGTACAGATACCATATATGCTATGTCTTTCATACTTTTTCTCACGAGCTTTATTTTCCATGACTACGCGATGGTTGCGCCATTGTAAGTTATGCTCTATTACTTCTTCGTAATCAAATAACTCGAAATAAATGAATGGGGAAGCAAAAATATAGGTGTACGGAATGCCTCTTAATAGCAAAGCAATGGAATCATCATTTACATTTATATTCGAATTGAACGCATGTACTAATTTCTCCAGACATAAGACAAATGCCATCACTTGATATTATTGTTCTAAGTCGTAGAAATCAAACAATTTCAAAATAGACTCAAAATTTACTGGAAAAAAGTCGATAATTTTTGCAGGGTTTCAACGATATTATCGGTCAATCTTTCTTTGGCAGCTTCGGTTTGTTTGGTTTCACGGGTATCATCGAATGAGTCTGCATTTGGCCTTCTAGCTCTTTCCATGCTCCTTTTCTCATACTGGCCACAAATGCGTAATGTATTATATAGGAAATGGTCGAAATCAGCATTATTCCTGGTCATTTTCTCTTCTCCCCTCCTCTTCATTGCACTACATCAGCTTTCTCACTCACTCAGTGTCCTATACGTACTCGTACTAACGTTTGTTCTCCTAATGTGCCCATCGATCTTGATGATAATGCAACCTTGGAAAAGGTACGAAGAGACTTCAAACTTTTACATTTTATCTTAAAAACACTTTTCGCAAACGGGAAATATAAATTCAACAATGTAAAGAATATCAAAAGTTTGGTAGAATTTAGAATTTGAGATTTTCTTCTTCCTAATGTGTGCGAACGGAGTGTTAATTTTTGGAAAAGATTACAGCATTTCACTAATTCCAGATGTATTTCAGTACAAAACATGGACCATGGGACGAGGCAATAGCAACCTTCGAGCGATGACATCTTGCTATAAGATCGTATATTTCTGATGCTTTTCTCTTCAATGTGATAACAATAAATTTTATAACGTAATTAAATAGATGTTTGCAAAAAAATTTATTCAAAAACTTCTATGAATGAAAGACGTTTTAAATATGTGCCTAGGTTTTTCCACTTCCATCAACAACGTGTGAGTTTATGCGTTACTTCGGGCAACTTTTTAATATTCAGTATTCTGAACTATGAGCTTTGTGGATTCTGTAGCTCGCATATTCGTGGATTACATATTTTTTGCGAATCTTGCACATTCTAAATACTCCGTTAAGTGGAGGACTTTTTAGGATAAACATCTAAGTGTTCGCGTCGAGAGGAGCAAAAGAAACATTTTGGATTACTTTCTTCCGCTCCTAGCGCATGTTTTAATGGCGAACGTTGATATATAACATGATAAAATTGCTGGAAGCAGGACAAGAAAGGCCTAACTGGCAAAGATGAATGTGGTGGGATACACATTTACATGATATGAAGTGCTCTCAAAATTTCTGGATATACGAGAGAAGGGAGACAGTGGAAGTCTACTCCTTTCATCAAAATCTTAACACGGTTAAAATAAAAATAGTGGATGCCCTTGGTTTGATTACAATCGTTGGAAGATCTATAAAAGACGATGTAAAAAAGATGTTCGTTGTCCGATCAGTTAGTGAGGATCTGTCTATTTCGATGTATATTCCTATCCATGTCATGCTCTTGAGAACACATTCGATCCAGTGGATTTTATCATAGGGTTATCACACTACGAAAAAAAGGAATTCAGAAGGACTGGTACAGTATTCTTTCTCTTCCATATGTACCACCAAAATCATTGAATTTTTATAATACGTGCGCACTTCTTTATATGTCTTTTGTAGGACAGATCTTTTCACCATCACTGCTGTCATTATTTACTGGATTTATTTTAAGGATTAAGTGAAATTGTTAGCCTCACCATAACGTCCTTTCATTTTAAGAAAAAAGAGGAAAAACCCTATTTCTCAATAATAGCATTTTGTTGATACTTGAAATTTACAGTTGCAGCCCTTCGTCTTATATAGAGTACTCCAAAAATTTTAGGCCGGTCTGAATTCCGTGTTTCAAAGATCCACGGAACCGTTTCGTTGAAAAAAAACGTTTCGTTGTTTCAGATTCAAACCAGTGTTCTTCAATTCTGAACTTATGATTTGCTGTATTTGCACTGAGATTTGTTCCTGATGAATAATTAATTAGTAATAAATTTCTAACATTGTATGAATGAGGTCGAATGATATATGCATTTCTCGGTTTTGATCGAACTGCCATTATGCTCCTATTTTTCGCTTTTCATTTTTTTATATGACAAATTAAAAAATCTGCATGATCTTCAGATAGATGATATCTCTTTTCAATGAAATTAATATTTAATAAATGAAACTTGGTGCTTAAATGCCAAATTTCAAATAAAAAGGATCGATTCAGGTTGTATAATGCCATCTTTTTTTCGTCACTCTATCCGCTTTTTGTTTTTCTTTACCTTTTTCCCCGTAATAATTTCCGAGAGAATAGTACGAAGGATGCAGACGAATTTATATACCAAAATTTCATTTCAATTAATGGAAGTTTCGTTAATAAAAGCTGTCCATTTTGATGAATTGCAGGAAGGATTTGATATTCCTTATCCACTGAATCTTTTAAATTAAGTTTATCATAATTCAAACCATTTGAAGAACATATTTGGAATAAGGTGCTATTTGAACACTATTTGGACGAGAATGATGAACAATTTGAGAATTACAGTTGACACTTGGGACAACTTTCCGAAACTTTTTTGCAGCTTAATTTTCAACTGCTTTCAAGATTTCATAATCTGAGAGGGTCAAAATTATTGGAAAAAAACCTGTTTTAAAAATTGGCAATTTATTAACCAAAATATGAAATCTGCATTTGTATCATTCCACGTATCGGAGGGTTGTGTGGAAATGAAATGAGAATAGATTGCTGGGAGAGTTCAAAATACTGAATTGGGAAAAGGTGACAATGTGAATGAAGACGAGAAATAGGATATCCAAAAACTTTAAATTATGTACATGGAAAAATTGTTTTTTAATTGATAAATATGAAAAAGGCGAAGAAATGAATTGCAAATAGCCATAATAATGCATTTACAAGCAGATGATGTCGAAGTTTTGATTAGGAAACTTAGGAAGGATTTTGAATAAATCCGTGATTATACTCATTATTGCCATATCACAATCAATTTACCTTTCTTCTTCTAAATCTCCTTTTCATCCCATCATTGATCATCAGTCAATCTGTTTGAACATGACATAATTGGAATATGTTTTTTTTTACGTCAATAGAAATTTTTAAAAAGTTGCTAACATATCAGAAGGTTCAAATAATACATTTTGTACATTAGCAATAAATTCGAATTTTAGTAAACAACATTGTCAATAGTTTGACCGTTGCATCTGAATTTGAATCACTAATATTGAGCATGTTTTGATAAGATCTATTTGGAGAATTTTAGCACTTATGAGTCAAAGGTTACTCCTAAATTGCATATCTCAAACTAACAATACGATATTTCTCTTTTCTTTGTTTCGCAAACATTATCTTTTTTTTTTCAGATAGTATTACTTACATATTCACTTTCAATGGTCTGTTGCATTTTAACCAAACAACGTTTGCCTCATGCATTAACCGTGTCCTAGGCTCTTATACTTGTTGTACAGCGTTGCAGTAATTTTTTGTTTAAAAAAAGATTACATGAAAGATCGTATGAAAATGATGAAATATAATTCGATAAGTTTAGTAATCGTTTTCATCAATGAAAATGTAAATAGAACGTTTAATATCACATCATTTTCCTTTTTCTCCGACATCAACTGTTCCGATGAATTACCAACTTGGCCAAACAGTCTAAACCAAACACTTCCTGTTCTTCCTTTATGTTATCAATTTTTTGAAATATCCATTTAAACTGCGAAAAAGTAAGCAAAGAAATTGCTTGCATCCTTGATTTGTTAAGTAATATCAAAATTGAAAACGAGCGAAGGTCATATCGAAATATGCTTAAAGCGGTGATAGCGTGGCACAACATTACATATATATATATATATATATGTATGCAAATATCAATTACACAATCAAGTGCCTCACACTGTGTTTATTTTGCAAAAGGGTTATTTCGGGGGTTCCTCGGCATTAATTCTCCAGAACACGTCATTTTCGGCCCCATTTCGAGCGCTACTGCTAACTGCATGGATGGTTCTATCATCGATTCACATTTCAAACCAACAAAGCTACTCATTCATCTCTGACTAAATTGTATCAGAATTAACTAGCATCACCACAATCGCTAATGCTTACACAATTCCGCTCATGCTTTTCAAATGGATGATAGAGTTTTTTTTTCTTTTATTCTCTGAACAATTCAACCACATTTTTGAATCTGGATGATTTCCATATAAATTTAAACTTCAATACCACAATTTTGTCCATTTTTAGCAAGTTTGATCCGTTTTAAAGTTTGATTTGATATGTTTAAATTATGTGATTCCGTTTGTTTGAGAGAAGTGAGGATCAAAATTATTGTTAGTATCAAAAACTTTAATATTCCCTCATCACTTTATATCCTTTTATTGTTTTCTGTATTTCCAAATGTCTGCTGGTTCTTGAAATTTTTAACGAAACTTTCCTAGTGTGAAGGATTACTAATATAATGAGTTGATTTTGCTGTACTGATAACTGGAATTTTGAACATCTGCAGGACATCTGAACCATCAATAGTTCATCTAAGGTTCCCTAGCCTTTTTCATAAGGTCTGCATCAGGAATAAAATCACAATATCGGCAAATATGCCTAATATAACTCTCTAAGACTTATTTGCATTTACCTTATGCAGCTATTCATAGAAGTGTTGCAGTCTGATAGTAGCGTATGCTCAAAATTTGTATCTACCGTACTTGTGGTCGAGATTTTCCGGAATTGCTCCCATTTGTTGACTCAGACTTCAGTTTAAGAATTTCACATCTCGTTAAATATGACAATTATTTTTCATATTACGAAAAAAAGTAGCACACCATCATATCTCACATCACTGTTTAAAGAGTAGATTTATTTATTCATTTGCAGAGACAAATCTCACAGAAACGTGGTGTTGCAAGGGAGAATCTCCAATCCTAAATGAATCATCAATCACGGGGGAGAGAAGTTACCACCCCGAAGGAAATGATGGAAGATATTAGGTAGAAAAGAGAGGACATTGAAAGAATGGAAATTATTCATCAAATTCAATTCCATTCTATTCCTTTCCAGTCTATTCCATTTCATTTCACTCCAATCCATTCCATCCCATTCATCTACTTACAGAAGTGATCCCTCATCATCCGTCTTAAGTGTAGGCCTTTTCCCAACTGCATAATTCAATTTGCATTTCGCTGACATATTTGTTGTCTAATTTATTGCGTAATCAATCCTTTTTTTCAAAAAAGAAAAGAAACTGCCATTGCATTAGGGCGAGAAGGAACTATCCATTCGATAGTAATGGCATTTTTATGTTGATTAGACATTTCGAAGATAGTAGCAGTAGCAGTAACTGCATGAGCAGTAGGATCTCCTGAAAGAAATTAGTAGTTTTGCTACTTGAAACCGGAAAGCAATCTGATTCGATCCGATAATGCGGGAGGAGATGTGCTTTTATTCAAATAATGTAACCCATTTATAAAGGGCGGAAAACAGGATGAAAGAAGATGCAAATGAGGATTAAAGAGTACTCATTTCAGTGGCATTATTGCTTACTTTTACATATGATTCAATCTGTTTCTCAATTTAATAGTCTCCTTTCCGTTTCATCACAGCATACTTTGTGATTTAAGCTTGGCTTGGACATTGATACTGGAAGTCTAGGACTAAATCAAAAACCACCCGCAGGAGTAATAGCAGTAGCAAATGGCTTTAGCGACATGCATTCCATGTCATGGATTTTGGGATAGCCTATTGGGATTTCTTCCATGATATCTTCTTCGTCTGAAATGAGCTTTAGCATGCAAGACAAGAGTATCCTGCAATTCAGGCCCGATCATTGGGCCTCATTTTGTCTTTCTGGTTCTGGACATTCAATTGCATATGCCCAAAAAGCTCACAGATCTATAGACAACCACTGGCTGGGAGTCCTCCTTTTCCTCCTCCTCCTCCTGATGTGATTAGCTGCTATATAGACGGCAAATGGTGACATGCAGAAAGGCATTAAGAATGGATAGCCATATTCATTTCAAACGTATACATTTCCATCATGTAGAAGCGTTATTGCGGAGGACGAGAAGCGCACTTAATTTCATCCATTTTACAACCTTCTTGACCACTGTTAACAAGCATCCAAATTATATCATTATGTTCCTTTCCGCCTTGTAAACAATGGCTCCTCATTCCAAATTTGTTCACTTTCTTCCAGTATTCCAAAATCTCAAGCATCCAAAGCATTTTAACAATTTAATTAATTTGCTTTGCAAAACTAAGCTTTTGTTAATTAACAGCATAGGAGCGGTGGAATTAATCTTGATGAGATGGTGTACGGAAAAGAAGCAATTGTTAAGTACTTTTAATATACCTTAGTTTAAAATCCATTCTGAATTAAAATTCTTTTGGTTGAATTGAAGGGAAATCTTTGCATGAGAACAAATGATATATGTTGTTGTATGATCGAAGATCCGGGGACTCAAATAGATTAGTGAGATTAATTAGGTAAAACAAGGGTTAATCTTTCTGGTTGGTTGTATGGGTATATGTAGGAACCAAGAATGACAGGTAATCACTAACATATGAGTGGAATAAAGAGTAGATGTTTGTAAATTTCGAATTCATACATTCATTTTCAAGTTGTGTTAAGCGAAACTGATGTGTGGAAGATGGAAATAATGCCATAAAGAAGATTTCTAGGGAAGTGAAAGTCTTCCTTGAATTCTTCCACACAACAATATCACGATGACAATGAGTCACTTTTGTCGAGCAAACTATTGCACATAAAGTTGTATCAATTTTGCATTTCATGTAAAAGACTTGTTAGGAAGGGATAATAAGCTATTACTATTGTGACAATAAGCTTTTTTTTTCTTTCAAGATTAGCGTGCAGACAACTAATTCTTCCAAATATATTTCTGAAAATGTATTCAATAATTGGAATTTGAATTTGAACTTGAATTTTCCTGACTTAATTTCAAAGCATCGCAATGAAAACTGAAGTACTAAATTTAATCTTAACGAAGTTAATTAACAGAAGCAAATCATCGGAGTGCATGAAAACTATTCTCAGAAGATACACAGTAAGTCTCTTCCAGTGACTGTTTCATATTCATACTTGTAATCATTCATTCGCTTTTTGCCACATTCCCACTTAGAATCGGAAAAATGCAAAGAAAAATATACATTCATTCAGTAGTCAGTTTAACACTGTTCCATTATTCTCCTGGGAAATTCCGGCAGAACAATTTCAAACTTGTTCAATGAAGTTGAAACCAGACAAGCAAGCATCCTCGGATGGCCTTCCCAATATCTGTCCTATGGAATTCCGGGAGAAAAAAAATTCAGTGATCAAATAAACGGCGGCTTCTGAGAAGAAACTAAAAATTTTCAGAGATAAACTGAAATTTCTGCAATGAAATCATCAAACTTATTTTGTCAAAACAGAAAAATTTTTTTTTTTTTGCAGAGGAACAATTTAGCAAAAAAATTTCAAGAAATGCGATGAAGCAAGAAATGAGTGGAATTAAGCAAACAGATGTTTGCTGCAAAATCAACTTGCTGCATGCAACACACTGTTCCTTTACAAATCATAATTTCACGCTGAAACATCGAAAATAACCACAGTATACGTTGATAAGATAAAGAATGCATATTGATATTTTTGCATGGCTGTTTTAGAAAATCTGTCAATCTGCTAATTTAAATACACCTACTAGTTGTTTCTTTACTAAAAAAATCTGATACGTTTAGTGTAAGTGTTAGTGTCATCTTTTATCGATCTCGAATGCTCTATAAGAAATTCTTAAAGTAAGAGTTTTTTTTTTTTTTCTACCGAACTGAATGATACGAAGATATTGACGACATTATCATCATGAGAATATAATTCGTTGAGAATATTTTTTGTTTGCAAGTTATAATTTCGATCGTTAAGATTGTTTGTTGTAAGTACTCTGTTCAGTGTTATCGTGTTTCTGTCAATGAACGAAGGTGACAGCGTTCGGTGAGGGATAATATTTTACGAAGTAAAAGTGATGCATTTCGGCTATTTCATGTATATATTAAAAATTAAGATGCAATTGCTCTGCCTCTCGCGGATACAAATGCCAAGACTGGTACCTGTCCCCAATCCTTTCTTCCCTTCTGTGTCCATCGAGGCATTTCATTTCGTTCCCTTGCGAAACTGAACGATTTTTCATTAGGAGTGATCACCAGAAAGAACGATACATAACTGTTCCGTTCCCAAAAACTGTTTTTTTTCTTTTGAAATCTGAGAGACAGTCTTCTTTTCGAATTTCTTCTCACAATTTATATCTTTAAATGATGGAAGTTCAAAGTGAAGCTGTGTGAACTTTGAACCTTTATTTTATTATCGCGAAATTTCAAAAGTGATAGTACTGAGAGTAAAGTTATGACTGATCTAAATAATCCCATTGTAAATTGTGAAACCGAACTTTCATCATTGAATTTTGTGAAACCGAAATAAAACCAAAGCAATTAAATTATGAATAGCTTCTAACAGATCAAAGGTGTTAGCTATAATTCCTAAAGTTATGTATATCCATGTATTTGTGCATCTGTTTGTAGGTCCGTATATATGTGTGTTGTGTGTGCGTGTGTACGTGTGTGTGTGTATGTATGTGTATGTGTGTATGTGTATGTGTATGTGTCCGTGTATGTGTCCGTGTATGTGTATGTGTGTTTAATCATTTTTAACATTTAATGTTTAATCTTTTTCTGTTTACATGTCTGTCATTGCCATACCAAACATACATATAGGTCTGTATGTCAGCTGCAGCGCATTCGTCTCTGCAAGTTCAACGACAATTAATTTTCCATTTGAAAAAAATGGAGGCTGTAAAGAGTGAAGTTTGAGATGTAAACGGTTTTTTTTTTTATTTTAGCATTTATTGGAATAAGTGTTTGACGTGGCTTTGCAAATGTCATATCAACTATCTTTTTATTACATCAAATACCTAAATTAGCAAACCTAAATTAAGCACAGTTCTGATGACTGAAAAGAAGACTTTTTCGGTCATTTTTAGAAATGATTTTCCGAAAAACAAAAATAAATCATAGGAATGGTTGCCTTTAGTTCAACTATACACAATGTTTTCATGGTAGTGAAGGTACCACCCTGTGCATCCGCGCCCTGTGAGTTTACGTTTAATCTGTTTCTATTTGTCATGTCCGCTCCATCGCAGTGCACATCCATACCAAATTGGAAACTACTCTCGCTGCTGTTACTGATCTTATTTCGAAATGATACAACAGCAGAGCGGCGGATGGAAAGGGAGCAAGGAAGAGGGGGAAAATTAGAACCGGAAGAGCGGAACTGAAGAGAACGGTGCAGTGCCAGGGGGACGAGTGGGTGGTGGTTAGGTGGATAGGTGCAGGGATGAGTGGGTGGACCATACATAACCGGATGGATCAACGCCGCCGCTCTAATCATTCAATGCTTGCTTTCCTAGTGAAATTGAAAAATGCATATCGTTATTGCAGGGCCGCCCCATGGCCCGCTCCACCGCCACTTCTTCACTTTCATTTTCATTCACTTACTTTTGTTTCTTCCGCTCTTCTGTAGTGAACAAACGTAGAATGCTTTACTGGCGCTACTGTCCTCTTTAATATGCGTGGTGCATTCCTGTCAAATTTTCGTAGCATAAATTTTGCATCCTTAAATTCATTCCTAAATGTATAAGTATCTGGTAATCCACAATCCCTCTGTACGTCCCTTTCTACTTCACAAACAACAAGAGAGAGAGAGAGAGGAAGAGAGAAGGAGGAGTGAAATCCGAATCGGGAAACAAGTTTTTTTCCCTCTAACAGACTCAAATATTTTGGTTGAATCATCCTTGGCACTAATCATCATCACCATTATCATCAGAAGCTGACGATGACTAATCTAAAAAAGAAAAACTTCGTTACTGCTCATACAAACTTCCATACACATTCATATATTTACTTTCCAGTAACTCTTCTCATTATCTTAATTGTCGTCTGTCACCACAACAAGCCTTACAGACAAAAAAAAGTGAGTGGGAAAAAAAAATGTCATTCTGTTTGCTTGCAATTGAAAATCCTTTTGTTTTTCGAAATGGTAACAAATAACTAATGTTTACTGAGGTATTTCTGTAGTATTTACATCAATAGGTCTAGTGGTCAGTAGGAAAATTCGCAAATAAAAGATGACATTTGTCTTTCTTTTTTTAGTGCTTAGTTAATGGCATTCTTCTGGTCGAATTCCTTTTTCTTGGGACCATTTATGAATTGGAATGACTGCATATAGATGTTTATGAATGTAAAACGATGTCTGCAAGACAATTTTGAGAAACAATTTTACATTTAATTTTCATAGAGGTGCATACTTGCATGCATTAGAATTAGGGATTATTCATCAGCTTGGTTGATGGTTGACAGTTGGCGGTCATCAGAATCCGTTTAACATTTCCCCATGATTTCATGGAGTCTTGATGTAACTCTCTGACATAAGGAATATATGTCCAAGTAAAACATCTCCAAATGAACGCTTGACCGTTAGGATACAATGTCTTTTGATCAATGATGCAGTTTGATAAGCCCATTGATAGATAAGTGACTGAATATGTTAGATATTACGACGTGCGTGATATCATGCTTACCCACTTTCACTTTATCTTTTTTCGCTCGGCAGTTGTCCGATCTTTATTAGTTTAGTCTATCCTGAGATTTCATGCTTGCTCTATCCCTTCCCTATCAGCGGAGTTAGTACACTCTTGAGATTCCCCACTTTAATCGTATCAACAAGAGAAGCCGGAATTTAAACAGTTTCCGAATGTACCTCTGTACATTTCCATTCAAACTATGCGACATCCAGATGTCATGCATATAATGTGGCGTAAGAAGTCACCTGCCTTCATGTTATTTTATTCCATAGATTTCATTTTTATTCCTCAGACTCCATTTTTGTTTCAATTTTTTTCATCTCATCGAAAATAAAAGGGAAATTTGCCGATGCACATAACATAGCAACAGAATGAAACGGTAAAAAGAACGCTTAGTGAGCAACTCAAATCAGCCATCCATTTCTCTTCACATTTGCTTTGTTTGTGTTAGTTATGTTCGAATGCCGCCTGTTGTGTCATTTCAACTCTTTTCTTATGTGTTGAATTCGAACTTAACTCTTACTCATTCGTCTCTTCTGATTTTGTCACACATACTTATCTATTTCCACTATGTTTCCATGTCAGATTTCTTGAAAACTATTTATGAATCCCAATCAAATAGTGAGTTGATTTGGAATTCAAGTGGATAGTGTTATCACTGATAACGCTGTGTGAGAGATTATCTGCGTATATATGTATGTATGTATGTGTGTGTGCGTGTCTGTGTGTGTGTGTATGTGTATGTGTATGTATGTATTTTTTTTTTTTTTTTTTGTCGTTCATTCTATTATTATCTGTGAAGAACAAACTCTGCTTGGTGTGTATCACAGTGCAGGTGCTTGCATTCATGATGTGATCTTTCATTAAAGCTTCCTCTTTACGGCCCACATTTTGAGGCTTTTTTCATTATAATTCTGTTATTGAAGGGTCATTCAAATCTGAAAAATTTAGATTTAAACAGACTTGAACATATCGTTTTGTTTCCTCAATTGAACCATATGAATTCACCCTGAGATAAAACAGAAGCAAGTGCATGAGAAAGATCAGAAGAGCAAGCTGGAGACGACCCTTGCTATCTGCCGTTGATCTTTGCTAATTTTATCGAAATTTCTACTGTTCGGTTAAGATCATATCGAAATTGCTTTTTCAATAATGGACCAAATCACTTTCCTGTTGACCAGTCCGAAATATATTCTAGAAAAGATCTACTTTCTTCACAATTTGTAATGCGATTTATAATAGAATTCATGAAAGAAGCATCACAAATCTAACAAATATAGTTTTCGGTTGTCGATGATTGATGTTCGGATCGAAAGCAAACAAATTAAACAATCCATTAATCACTTCCCAATCTGAATCTTAATTAGATAACTGCAGTTTGTTATTGCTACTTTTCTGCAAGTTTTAACTTTATCGTAATGAAGTACTGTCATTTGTAGTTCTTGGTTTTGGCTTGAATTCATGCTAATTTCCATGATTGATAACAGTTTTCTCTGAATTTGCTTTATTAAGAAGTGGAATCAGTTACTTTTCAGACCAATGGTTTACAATCTTTTCTTGACCACGGGATACAGTTTTTAATAGCCCTGGCAATCCAAATTTTAGTGATCGCGGACTATTGGTTGGGAAACACTATTTAGAAAGATTACAGGTACCACAGATTATGCAATCACAATTTCCTACTGCAGGTTTTAGAGATGAAGTAAAAGTGAGTGCTAAAATGTTACCGTATCGCATTCATAACAACACTTGACTTATTCCAGGTGTTATGCTGGTAATTACATAACCATTTTTTTTGCTAACCTTATGCATGATCTACCGGTACAGCTTTTGTAATACGTGATTACGTGATTGCTAGCACTGGAGCAAAAATAAGCATTTATGTTGATTCTTACGAACTTGAAATATTGCTGCTACTATGTGACTTACGTTTGTATCTCTTAATGCTTCACGACCCATATATATACCTCGTCTTTCTTAATAATAAGCATGTCTACATATATATATATATATATATATATATATATATATATATATATAT